CAGGGAAACTTATCTTTGCTCTCCTCGCCAGACTCCATTAATAAAACAGCAGCGATAAGTTTCCCTTTCAGTAAAAAGTGCTCTAAATGACATTCAGAGCACTAACATAGCATCAAACAACTATCTGCTGTAAAAGATGTAGTGGATTAATGTCCCCTCTGTGCGTGGTGAAGGCTTATGGTGGAAGCATGAAACCCTCTATAGAGCCATGACAGTCATTATATCCATGTCCTATTTGTTTCAGTGCATACTGAATGAAATGATGTCCTTTTCAATAAGGGCTTCCCATGACTCCAGGCTGTAACACATGAAGGTCTTTAGTGGACATAATGTATGGCTGCAGAAACAGCTGGATATGCTGTATAAACATTAAGGGGGGTTAGTGGGAAACTCTAAACTCATGCACACAGAATGTACACCTCACTGTATACAGTACACTGCTAAGCATTTATTTTATTGAACATAACCAGTGGAAATGGCAACGAGTCCAGCTGGACATGATGTTTGACACCAGAAGACTGCAGCAGGAAGAAAGAGAGAGACAGAGCACCCTCACACACACACACACACATGATCTCAGACCCACCCCCACACACTACTCCATGTCAAGGGTTGTTGCAGGCTGCTACGAAGTTCAATGTAAGAACGTGTGGCCAGCTGGATCTATGCTGTATAAAATCACAAACTGCTGCAGAGAGATTGGGTGTACTGTAAAGATTAAGGGAGGAACTGAATAAGAAAGGGAAGTACAGGGAAAATAACAAATAGAGAAGGAAAAATAGATACAGGAAGAGAGAGTGATGAAGAGGAAGAAGTCGAGAGTCTGTGTGAGAGAGAGAGGGAGAGATTGAGGTTAGACTGCAATGCTGTAAAAATGTATCACAGAGGAGTTTTATGGATGTACCTCTGCTCACAAGACATTAGTGGCCTTCTGCTGCCACTCTGTGGTCAGTCATAATACAATCATTGGTGCAAAGTGGAAACTCCATTTATTCACGTACTCAGTAGTGGAAGAAGTACTCACAGTATTTAAAACTAGCAATAACACAAAGGGAAAAAAATTAAATTAAAAAACATTTATCATAAAGTACCATGTACTATTTAACCCTTGTGTTGTCCTGGGGTCATTAATGACCCCAGAAGAAATCTTTTGCTGTCAAAATATGTTTTTTATTCATCAAATGGTCTGAAAAAAATGGGGGGCGTTCGATACTATGCTCTTCATGATTAAAATAAATTTGAGGTAATTTGATTGAATTAACGGTGATTTATTGAATTGAATAACTTCTGTTGTCCTCTGGGGTCAAAAAGACCCCGCAGCACAAAGTGGCTCAATGGGGCAAATTGTCACACCATACTGCTTTCCAAAACATCTTTGATCTTGGATGTTTGATGTGTGGGGTCAAGCAATGGTTATGACAACAAAAAAATAGGTCTTTTCTCACAGGTGTTGGGGCATTTCACATTTTAGAGAGAGACAGGCAGCACAATGAGGAGGCAGAAGCGCTATACTGCACAGGAGGCTTGTGAGGTAATTTTGAACTATGATGTGGAAAAGAATAACCAGGAGGACAATGCTGAACATAATGAGGAGGAAGAATCAACTGATGAGGACGATTCAGGGTCAGAAGAGGCGGAAAATAATGATGAGGTGATGGATCCAACCTACAGACCACATGCTACTACTTCCTCTGAAGAAGCCCCCACATCGCCCACTGAAATGGAAGGGCAGGAAAATGATGACCATGATGAGGTAGAATCTGAAGCTGAAATGGAAGAAGTGTCAGAAGTGGAGAACTGCACTTATCATGATGAAGAGGAAGAATCAACTGATGAGGAGGAATCTGAAGCTGAAATGGAAGAAGTGTCAGAAGTGGAGGACTGCACTTATGATGAAGAGGAAGAATCAACTGATGAGGAGGAATCTGAGGAAGAGGACCCAGCTGCGATAGAAGAATACTTCCAGTCAAAGGATGAAAAAATTATCTGGTCTTCCATCCCTCCCAGTGACAGACGACGCATGTTGACAGTCGAGAGAGCAGAGAGAGAGACAAGCCACCATGGTCCCACATTGTGTCCTTGTTTAGTATCCTAAAGTTTAACTGATTGCAAGATACGCTAATACTTCATTTATACAACGGAAAAGCTTGCGCAGAGCTGCAGAGATGGTTTAAGGAGCTTGCATGTAAAGTGTGAAGAATGTGATAATGTGCCAGGCACCACAATAGCTCACATACGTTACGACACTAACCTTATTAATTGTAGGCACAGAAGCTCCTCTTCATCAACCAACTCCTTTATAATTGTTTCTCCAGCCATATTATATGAAGCTAAATATATCAAAGATTAAGATGAAAAAAGGATTTGGAAACTGCGGCTCCAAAGCTTAAAGTAATTACATGCTGACACAATCCACTGCATTACTATATATACAGTACCTGGCACGCCCGAGAGGGGCATGGACCCAACGCATAGGCCCACAGTCGTAGAATTATAAATCAGGCATAAGTGTGAAGGGAAGCTTTTCACAATACTTTTTGTGGACATCCAAGAGAGACGTGAAAATCAAACTATCTGGCCATTTCAAGCAGGCCCCATTTGATTTCATTTATATTTTTCATGTGATTTAGCCAATTGTTTATGTACTTACATTTGTATTTTAATGTTATTTGATCTTTATATAAGCATTGCACTACCTACCAGAGTACCTTCCTGATGTAAAGTCCCTTTGCTTTGATATGCAAGGTGGCACCTTGCATGGTAGTCCCTTGGTAAGGCTCAGGGTAGGCCTTCTTGAAGAGGTGAGTCTTCAGCCTGATGAAAGATGGGCAGCGACTCCGCTGTCCTGACGTCAGTGGGGAGTTCATTCCACCACTGTGGGGCCAGGACAGAAAACAGCCGTGACCGGGTCGATTGGCCGCAGGGACCTCTGAGTGACGGGTCAACCAATCGCCCCGAGGCAGCAGAGCGCAGTGGTCGGGCGGGGGTGTAGGGCTTGACCATGGCCTGGAGATAGGAAGGAGCTGTTCCTTTCACTGCCCTGTAGGCTAGCACCAGAGTCTTAAACTGGATGCAAGCTCTTACAGGGAGCCAGTGTAGAGAACGGAGAAGGGAAGTTGTGGGAGAACTTGGGGCGATTGAACACCAAAATCAAATGGTATTTAAAACTAACAACTACTATACATTTATGAGCATACTATCTAAAATCAACAAACAATCTGTGGTAGGAGTGTGTATGTGCATGCACATACACATACACATTATTAGGGGTGGTAGTAGAAGGAGAGAAAGCAAACAAAACAAAAGAAATCCTCCAAAGCAAAGCAGATCCTTACCACCATCGTGATTCTATCTCACAGAAGTTTGGCTGACGAAGTTTAATTCGGCCGGCCGCGATTCTGATTACTTTTGCTGATAAAACCACAATTTCACACTCCACTCGCGGTGACTGATCTATTACAACACGGTTCAAACAGTATGAAATACACAATATAACGGGACTCGGCCGTCCGCGAAGATACACGTTATAACAATACAGCAACTTAAGCAAAACAATCAAGGTAATCAACACACAATGACCTAACTGAGCCCAGACACCAAGTAAAACTCTTACTATGAGATGACTTCTTTATGGTCAGTTCAATGTGAGAAATCTAAGTTTAAAAACATTCTTAGTATGTGTAATAGCACCCCTAGTGGTGGATATAATGTCTATAATATATATACAATATATTTACTGATAGAATATATTAAATGTCACAATATATTTACTTATAGAATATATTAAATGTCACAATATATTTACTTATAGAGGACATTATATGTCTACAATATGTTTAGGTGTAGAAGCTTTAAACCAAAGAGTATAGTCATTAAATGTATTTAACACTATAAGTATAGTCACTGGATGTATCAAACTGTGAAGGATATTAGATGAAATGGTAGAGAGAGGGTTTTCAGGAGGCGACCATATATATGGTAACAGATGAGCCAAGCTGAGACACCGGCATCAGGAAGGAAACAGGAAATGGTCAGCAAAGACATGCTGGCTTCAGAGGAGGCTGCACTATCGGGTCAGAGAGCAAGGAGGAGTCAGAGGGATTTCAGCCAATCACTGAGGTGATACGAGACATTTTCAACCAAAAAGACAGTGTTTCAGGGTGAAACTTCAGAACTCATGACTTCCATTCTATAGCTAACCGAATTTCGTCGGACTGTTGGATGGAACTCGTTTGCTCTCTGCTCCATGGAACATATTTCTATCGATAGTGTGATTCAGTTTGTAACTGTTTTAGCTTCTGTTAATTATTAAATACTTTTGATTATAACTTGAACCAGCTGAGTTTTTTGGCCCTGCTTCGCTGACGAAAGACGCAGCAGTGGGCGACGTACGGACTTCCATTGTTCTGAGAAGTTTTCAGTATGTATACATTAATGATGAGAGAACTTGTCTTTCTCTGAAAATGTGTTTCCTTCCTTCTGCAGGCAAGTTATTGACTTCTCTTTTTCAGGGTACAAAAACAAAAATAAAACAGTTTGTTCTCACTCGTAGCTCTGCTGGTGGCTGAAGTCTCTGTCGTACTGGAGAGCAATTAATGTTTTGTTCCTTTATAGTTTATGTGTGTGGACTTCACAATAGTTGTGCAGAACAAAATAAGCATTAATAGAAAAGGAAAGTCCTCCATTTTGTGTCTATCGCCCTCCTCAAAGCCGCTAACTGTGACTTCAGACGGCCGCTCTGTAGGTCTGATAACCCCGCTGGACTAATAGCTCCAATAACAGCTGCTTCCTCCGTAATCATGCAGACTTTAACTGAACAACAGCTGCTAGTAAAGACAACAAGGTCAGCAACACCTGTAATCAGTTGTCCATGGTGAATTGATCTGGTAGTCGATCGGTAATCAATGTTGTTGTTGTTTGTGATTTTCCAGGAAAGGGTCACGTGATAGGGGCGTGACCAATCGGGGAAGGACATGTCGTGACTGCTAAGAACCAATCAAGTAGCGAACCCGGGTGTGGGCGTCATGTTTGCTTGTTTTTTTATTAAGAGTATTTGGAACATGTAGTTTCATGATATGCTCTTGATCCAATAGGTTTAATTGTCTTACTTTTTTAATTTGTCAAATTCAAACAAGCGTGTAAGTTCTGTTATACGCCACCAGGTGGTGCTGCTGACCCGTTTCTGTAATTTTGAGTTTAGGGTAATCTCTTTTTATTTGATTAGTAGTGAATAATCTTTGTTAAAACATGTAGGCTACAAATACACTCTCCAAACTAAGGCTCCAACTAAAAACAAATGTACAGATACTCTCTCTCTCTCTCTTCCTCTCCCTCTTTCTCTCTCCCTCTCCCCCTCTCTGTCTGCATGTGTTTGTGTTTGAGCCTCGAGACAGCTCCAGCCAGTCAGACGCCAGCAGAGGAGCGCGAGCCCGCTTCGCTTTGTAACCATTTAGCTATCTGGTCCTTCAATGACAGGCTGAACGCTGCACGCACAGAGAAGCAGGATCCCGCGAGACACGGAGAGGATCTACCGGTGTCAGCTCAGAAGATACAGCTCGTTGGACTTTCAAACAAAGATTACTATCGGGATAAGCAGGAACTTACTGTATCCGTTTTACATGTTGAAGTGGCAGCGCGATACCGGAGCGTTTCTTCTAGACGGGACCCGAAGCTCCACAGACTCCGAGATGTGTCGGTCCCGGGGCAGCATGTAGGGGACTAGTTCATCTGGGAGAAGCTGTCTGGTTTGGTGGAGTTTAGAAACTATTGCTTTGAGGGTGCATGAACTCTTTCTGTGTCTTTCATATGTTGACACTCCTGACAGCCCGTGACAAGTTATCAATTATGTAACTCCGAATAAGATCCAATAAGCTTACGTTCCTCTGGGTGCTTTGAAAACTTGTGTATATACTGTGACTGTCTGTTTTTGATCTGGTCATTATTACATAACTGGTCAGTGTGAATGCATTTAGCATTTTAAACTGCTCATGAAGAATTGCCATCCTGTTCATGTGCTGTTCCCATTATTTTGTCCAGCAGCTGCGGCTCCGCTGCAGCCGATCTGTGCTCAGTGTGTGTGTCAGTGTGGGTTATTCACAGTGCTGCTATGCAGACTGACTGGAGCCACGCTCAGACAGCTCCACTGTAAGCCCAACTCTGAGGCACAGGCCTGGACCGCTCACACAGAGAGAAACCTTTACAGCTGAGGAAAGCTCCCTGCAGTCTGGAACTAGAGGGGCCACTTGTGCGGAATAGCAGATGTTACACAGCTTTGTGTACTAATGTGGATTATTCAGGATGCTGCTATGCAGACAGAGTGGAGCCACAGAAACTCTGCTGGTAAAGTTGAAGCAACACACACGGCTGTGCAGCTTCTGTCAGTGCACTTGAACAGCTTGTGTTACGCTGTTGGCAGCTGAAGGTTTGTCAGGAACGAAGGTTTTTTTTTTTTTTAACTCATACTGGTTAAGTATGAGTACATTATGAGTTGGAAACCTTCACATAGACTTGTACGAAAAGCTGTGTCTGAAACACAAAAAGTCTCCTTCCACTTTTTTACAGTAATGAAGCCAATGCAAGCAGGGGAACATTGTGAAAGATGACAGTGAAACTTTGTGGAATTGAATCATTTTGCATTCGAGACACGCGGTGCATTTTGCATAGTTGAAATTAGATTAGTTGTTAACATTTCACTTCAATAGCTTGTTAGTTACACTGATTGTCGGAAAATGAAGAACCCTCATCCACTGAGTAATACCTGGAGTAGATCCATTAACAAAGACCCAGTGCTGATCTCTGTGCCAGACACTAACAAGAAGTTCAAGAGGAAGTCTCGGGAGCCTAAAAGGCTTTACAGCGGCCCTGAGCCTGAGAGGATGAACACCTACCCAGAGAACATGTCGGATGTGAACTCGGTAGATGACTCCCAGACAGAGGCGTGTAATGTCAGCAGGTTGGATCCTCTACAGAGACAGCTGATGATGTCACAGGAGGGGATGGCCAGTACTACGGGGATGCTGTCCGGACTACCACAAGGTAACGTGGCTCCAGCTCAGAGCGGCGCCATAGACATGAGAATTGGCATTAACGTGCCCGCCATCACTTCCAAACTGTCCCAGTTACCCTCCTCTCCATTCTCTAACTCTGAGATCTCCCACTGGCCCACCGCCATCTCCCAGCCTCTGTCCAACAGACTCAAACTGGGCCTCTGCTCCACTTTTCCTCTGTCCACATCATCCAGCAGCAGCCACAGCCATTCACCCAACCACCTGGCCTTCTCCCTGGAGCCCCAAACTTCAGCTCTGCCTGTCCCGAGAGCCTCCCAGACCCAGTGCCACGAGTATATGGAGCCCCAGGACCAGTCACCTGAGGTGAATGTGTGGAGTGTCATGAAGAAAATAACGTGGAGAAATATTGATGTAATGGAATTAGAGCTGAAATTAATTCATCATTAGTCAATTGACTGAAAATGAATTGCAATATTTTTAATTGATTTGAGCTAAATGTATTAAATCCCATTGACTTGTATGTGTATAGTAAACTTAATATCTTACAAAACATGCCCTTAATTGAAAAAAAAACAATATATTAATCAGTAGTTACTGCTAGCATTAAGTGCATTTTACCTCTTTGTGAGATGATTTGTCTCATGTGTTGCGATAATTTGGTATGGGCAATACTCATCAGCAGTTATTAATCAGTACTTTTCAATGGGACATTCATTTATGCCAAATGAATAATTGAGTTTCAGTCACTGCGGTAGGGATCTGCCCATCCTCAATACTGTAATAGAAGGAATGCACATGAGAATGTATGCTGGCTATCTCCAGGCCCAAGAGTAAATGTGCGTTGTCTCATTCTGGTGACCTATGAAACATGTAGCACAGCATTGTGATTGAACAGTCCTTATGCTGCTTCAAGCTGCCTTGTTTGCTGGATTCCATTATGAACTTAAAACATCCCCAAATCTTATTTTCTTAAAGTAAAAAAAAAACTGCCAACCCAGTGAGGTAACACATTTCTAATAAAATGACAAGGAAAAACAATACATTGAAATGTTAAAAATTAATTTGAATCATCTGCTGTAGTTAGGTGCACGTGATCCTGAGGTTGATCATGGTGAGGTGTTAATGAGTGTTTGGTTAGAAGGTTTAACTGCTGCCTCGTAGTTCTGATAGGGTTTTCCATGGGCCTGGGTCAGCCACGGCGTGCCAAACCAGCAGGGTATATTCATGATTATATTTCCTACTGCTGCTGTTCACATTAACAACTATTCACTGATGAACTGGTGGGATGATTTTATTGTGAAGAAGGTATAGCAAATGCAAGGTAACCTTGCTGTCCTGTGGAAAAACCCCATGAGGGATTTGTGGGTTACAAGCTCTGTTCCAGAGGACAAGTTCAATAAAATGGTGCTGTTGTTTAGTTCAGTGAAACGGAAAAACAAATGTCCTTCTGCTCTCAGGAGTCTCCCAGGAGGCAGGCTGGGGGGAGTGCTGGTAGACCTGGCCGTCTCCCAGAGGTCAAAGCCATCCAGCAGACCAGGAGGCTTCTAGCCAACGCCCGAGAGAGAACCCGGGTCCATACCATCAGTGCTGCGTTTGAGGCCCTTAGGAAACAGGTCAGACTCACATTCTATACTGATAACACAACACACGCACACATATACAAGCTCAAACACACGCATACTGTACACATAAACATTGCTCAGAATCACATACATTGTTTTGGCTTTCAGTAAATATGTTTAAGGTGGCTTCAATATGCAGATGCTGACAATATACTGCAGGAAATAAAAACTTCACTTACAGTCTGTCGGTCTGTAGGTGAAGTGAATACAGGTTCACTTAGTTTCTCATTTAAAGTGCTGTATAATGTTCTTATAGCAGACCAACATCAGGATGGCCACATGCAGAGCAGCTGTATGGGCCAGCGCCAACAAGAGATTCTGTCTGATCACATTTAAAAAGTAAGGCTGATGGCATCAGTTTACTGCTGTAGTCTTGCTTATAAGAACACAAAGCTTCATAAATCGTTTGCCACCATGTCATAAAACTCCACTGCCACCCAAAACTGATAGAAACTTGAAAGAGCCATACGTTTCTCCATTTTTAATAAAAACAGATTTATTCCTCTCAGCTTCTCAAACCGGCAATGCAGTGTCAACACAATACTGAGCAAGTAAAATGCCACGTTGTGCTTGTAAATCTAGCAACTCACTTGCCCAATCGAGCAAGTGGTAAAAAAGTGAGTGACAATAAGTTTGTGGTCTTATTTCATAACCACTAATAAATAAAACAATTTGTATAGGTAAGTAATAACTAACTTTGGGCAGGTAGATTTCTGTCAGTGGGCTGCAGAGATGTCCTGGCCTACACATCGGCTTCTACAGACTAAAGAAAACTTTGTTTGGTATAGATCCCTGCAAAAATCACACCATAATCATGTTGGTACGTTTTTTTAATAAAATGTACTTTATCAATCCCAAATTGGCAAAGTATTGTGTTACAGCAGCAGGTTATTCAAGCACTTCAGTAAATATACATATCAACACCAGATATGTATATCTATAGAATACACAGTATAAAGAATATATTAGAATACACTTTAGATATAAGAAACCACAAGTAGGATATAAAATATAAACATAGAATAACAAAGCAAATACTATATACATGAGACATAACTTTGCAATCTTGTTGCAGTTCTTGTTGCAAAATTGAAATGAAATGAGGTAGAGTGAGAGAAAAACAATGTGCAATTTCAGCATGTGCAGAAACAGAGCTTAATGGTTCGGACAGAAACTAGCTGAGAGTTTTCTGTTCGACAGAGGAGAGGTATTGCAGAGGAAATATTTCCTGTATTGGTGCTTTCGCCAGAATCAGTCTGAATCAGAGAAAGAGCTCCGCTGTCTGTCCACTATAGTGGAGAGGATGGTCAGGAAAGGAGGCAGCCTTCTTAATCAGTTTATTACGTTTATCGGTGTCACTGGCTTCAGTGCTGCTCCCCCAGCAGACGACAGCCAAGTACACTGGCACACGTCCAAGGATCTCAGCTTCCTCAGGAAATGGAGTCTGCTCATCCTAATATACAGGTCTTAATATAATAATTATGATAATAATGTAAATTTATAATTCCCTCCAATACCCCAGATGATATCGTCATTGCAATATACATAAAGAATGACCACTTAGAGTAACTTGTTATCACATTATAATGTATTATAAAAGTGATCATTATTAAAAGATTGTAATGTATTACAACTATGAGAATTATAATACAATATGATCCTCGAGTTAGTGAACTTATTAGCACTTATTAAGTATTATATTATATAAAGTACTTTATAATGTGTTGTTATAATTATTGTTATAAAGCATTTTGAATATTTGTCAGTGCTTATAACATTGCTATAAGCAGATTGTAACTCACTATAAGTATGTTTATAATGCATCATAGACATCGTCCTCCTCACTGGTCTACCTAAGAAGACTGTGCAGACCACAGCTAATCCAAAATACCACAACTAGAATTCTAACAAGAACGAACAAATCTGATCACATCACATCTGTTCAACGAGCTCTGCAAAAATGTTGGCATTGTGCATTTCTGCAAACTACGGGCTACAATGAATGTGGACATTTGTGGAAAAATATATGTTTCATGAATATGTTTCATATCAGTTTGTATCACAGTAATGCAAGTAACGTAACATGATTGACATTGTGAAACAATTGGTCAGAATTAGGCAACAAAACTGCTTGGTAAAGGTTTGAAAAAAGATCATGGTTTGTGTTCAAATAATGACATAACAACATATCAAGACAACATAACTAAGGTAAATACATAACCACACTAAGCAGACTTTCTTATGTAACGTAACAAGTATACAGTTAACATCAGTTTCACATGCAACAGGAACAGAGGACTCCTGGGTGAAAGTCATGTCTTTGTTTAATAATGTTATTAATACCACGTAACTTTCAATAGTGTTATTGTACCACGTAACTTTTAATAACGTTATTATATCACGTAACTTTCAATAACGTTATTATACCACGTAACTTTCAATAGTGTTATTATACCACGTCACTTGTAATAACGTTATTATACCACGTAACTTAATAACATTATACAACGTAACTTTCAATGTTATTATGCCACGTAACTTACAATAATGTTATTATACCACGTAACTTTCAATAATGTTATTATACCACGTAACTTTCAATGTTATTACACCACGTAACTTTCAATAACGTTATTATACCACGTAACTTTTAATAACGGTATTATACCACGTAACTTTTAATGTTGTTATTCCACGTAACTTTCAATGTTGTTATTCCACGTAACTTTCAATACTGTTATTATACCATATAACTTTCAATGTTATTATACCACATAACTTTTAATGTTATTATACCTCGTAACTTTTAATGCTATTATCCCACGTAACTTACAATAACGTTACTATATCACGTAACTTTCAATAATGTTATTATACCACGTAAGTTTCAATGTTATTATTCCACGTAACTTTCAATTTATTATACCACGTAACTTTCAATGTTATTATACCATGTAACTTTCAATAATGTTATTATACCATGTAACTTTCAATAATGTTATTATACCACGTAACTTTCAATGTTATTATACCACGTAACTTTTAATAACGGTATAATACCACGTAACTTTAAATGTTATTATACCATGTAACTTTCAATGTTATTATACCACGTAACTTTCAATAATGTTATTATACCACATAACTTTTAATAACGGTATAATACCACATAACGTTCAATGTTATTATACCTCGTAACTTTTAATGCTATTATCCCACGTAACTTATAATAACGTTATTATACCACGTAACTTTCAATGTTATTATTCCACGTAACTTTCAATAACGGTGTTATACCACGTCACTTTCAATAGTGTTATTATACCACGTAACTTTCAATGTTATTATTCCACGTAACTTTCAATACTGTTATTATACCACATAACTTTCAATGTAATTATACCACGTAACTTTCAATGTAATTATACCACGTAACTTTCAATGTTATTACACCACGTAACTTTTAATAATGTTATTATACCACGTAACTTTCAATGTTATACCACGGAACTTTTAATGTTATTATTCCACGTAACTTTCAATGTTATTATCCACGTAACTTTCAATACTGTTATTATACCATATAACTTTCAATGTTATTATACCATGTAAATTTTAATAAAAGGGACTTGATGACTACGTCACCTGCTCAGTGCGTCGCTCGATGGACTACGTCACTTGCTTCAAAAACGTCCACCTGCATCTGTGGTTTGCAGAGACATACAAAAATTCTATCCCCAACTCCCTCTATTTCCTCCTCTCTCCAGGTGCCTTGTTACTCTTATGGGCAGAAGCTATCCAAGCTGGCAATATTACGTATAGCCTGCAACTACATCCTGTCTCTGGCTCAGTTGGCTGAGCTGGACTACAGTCCAGACCATGGCAGTCTGAACTTCTCTCAGTGTGTGGAGCAGTGCACCAGGACCCTGCAGGCCGAGGGCAGGAGCAAGAAGAGGAAGGTGAGACTGCACTCCTTCTCTCACATACACTCTGAAGTAGTGGATGGGGCCCCGACTACAGAAAGAAACTCATGAACCAGGCCCTTAGTTCTATTTCCCCTGCTTTATAATTATGTTTGATCATATTTGAGTTAGAGGCCTCCCTGTTTTCTGACCCACTCCTGGTACAAACTTAACACATTCTTCATGTTTACCTGTTGTCTTGACAAATGCAACAAGAGATTCATGTCTTATGCCGCCTTCACACGTGTTAATCACGTAATTTGCGCCGCATTCACTTGCCGGGACCAACGTGCCAGAGAGGGGGGCGTGGCTTATCGCCCTGGAAGCCGTTCAACTGTCCGACATTTATTTCCGCCATCAACCATAGAAAAAATAACCTGAAACGTTCTGAATGTGTCCCAGTTAATTTCCCGTTGCAGTGTGTGAATCAGGAAGTAAACATGGACCCAAGCTGTTGCCTAGCAACACAGCTCACAGATGGTGAATACAGGTATACTCAGACAGACAGTATGAGAAAAAAAACGTTTTTGAATATTGAAGAATGTAAACATGTTCTCGTATAACATAACACAAGAGCCACAGATTCTGACCAACAACCCACATTAGCTTTCTCACTAAAGTCTCCTTCTTATCTAACTTACAAACATGAACACTACTTCTTGAACGAGCCACCAAACAAACATTCACCAGGGAACAGTGCACAGCTAACATCTAGCTGCTAGCTGTAGCACATTAAACAGCACGTAAATGTGGCTGCAAATGTCAGTTAGATGTGTTCTCTACTCTTCAGTACCATTAACAAGTAGGCTACTGCACAAGTTTGTTCACTTTCGTGTTCCCTATGGTATATACAGTATATGTATAACACCGACACTCTGGCAGCCTGCTACAGAAGCGTAATGCATTCTGTTTAGAAAAAATATATATTTGCCCTGTTTAGCTCAAATAAAATCTGTTGTTTTTTTTGACTTCCCAAAAGTCTTTTTTCCTTTTTTTCTTCCTTTTAATACAAAACTATTAACTAAACATTTGAAGAACACATTGGCATTACGTTTTGCTACAAAAAGGGATAAAATGTAATTTTACACACATTCAACACCCTTATTAAATAAATATATTTTAAAGTGAGCAAGCTTGGATTGAAGATTTTCATTTATGAGACGGTCAAAGTGTTCTGCTTTCACATCCAGCTTCACACTATTACAGTCATGTTGCTCTTTTAGATGTTAACTAGCTGAGGGCTTTTTCCCTGCTGGCTGTTTCTCTCTGTGTGCATGCCTGCATTGTGTGTGTGTGTGCTCAAAGTTCCAGACACCAGATGTTTAGAGTGGAAGGGAAGTGGAGCTGGCGCCATGAAGGGCAGAGGGCAGCGAGAAGGCACGCGAACTGAAACCACACAAGTGCACACACACACACACACACACACACACACACTTGGCACATTCACCAGCAGTCTCTCCAACACATTCCCCCACTCTGCCTCTCCAGGCCATCTGCTCCAACATACTTTGAAACAAGGAGGGGAAAAAACACAGTCATCATCAGCCTGTCAGACATCAGCAGCTGGTGGAAAGACGGGGGGGGGGGGGGGGGTGTGTGTGTGTGTGTGTTCGTGGGGGGACACTTTTTCAATTTTCCTCAGAGCCACTGAGTCTGTGTCCACAGTAGGCAGGAAAAAAGACATCTTTTTACTTCATTGTGATTTGTATTTTTGCGCTACCATAAACCTGAGGTCCCAAATATCCCAACTGGAACTCTTTTCAACACGAAGAGTTTCCACTACTTGCATTGTAGTTGAAGTGAAGAAAGAAGTATAGATTGTACTTAATTAAAGTGTCACGGGAGTTCACGGTTAGGACCCAATAGCAAGACCACAGGAGACAGAAGTTGATATAAACAGGTTTTATTTTGAAGGTGTGTGAAGGTGTGGAGCCCGTGGTCCGACACCAGAGAGTAGGCAGATCGATGGTGTGAGTCCCGTGGCTCGACACCGGAGGGCTGGCAACTTGACGGCGTGATGTCCCGTGGCTCGACACCGGAGAGCTGGCAGCTTGACGGCGTGTGTAGTCCGCTAACACAACGGAGGGCAGAGCGGCGGTGTGTAGTCCGTTAACACCACGGAGGGCGGAGCGGCGGTGAGTAGTCCGTTAACACCACAGAGGGCACGGGGGATTCCTGGACCGACGGACACCGGAGGCAGGCGCTCGAGGCAGAAGATGCAATGGGGTTGAAGCGGGTGAAAGACGGTACGACCTGACCACCCCAGACTGCAGGACCAGAGTTTATATAGTGCCAGGGAAAGCGTTAGTGGGACCCGAGTCTGGTGTGTCAGCCTGCAGGAGGTAATCAGCTGGAGTGGCTGCAGCTGTGTGGCCATGGGAGGTGCCTGGTCTGACAGGGATCCTGACAGTACCCCCCCCTCAAGGAACGGATTCCAGACGTAGCTACACCGTCCAGAACAACAAACAAGGGTGGGCGGAGGGGGTCCGGAGGAGGGACGTCCCAGCAGATACAAAGCCAACCAGGGTGGGCGGAGGGGGTCCGGAGGATGGGTGACTGGATCTGACCAGCCACGGGGCCGCAGAAGAGCCGGCGGACGGCCGGACGGGCAGAAGGGCTCCGGACACGGGTGCTCCGGCGGGCTGGACTCGGACTCTCTGAGTCGGGGCTCCGGGGAATAGGATGCTGGTCCAGCGGCAGCAGGAACTGGAGGTCGCTGCAACCCGAAGGCGGCGGCAGGCACTGGAGGTTGCTGCTGCTCCGAGACGGCAGCGGCGGCAGGCACTGGAGGTCGCTGCTGCTCCGAGACGGCAGCAGGCACTGGAGGTCGCTGCTGCTCCGAGACGGCAGCGGCGGCAGGCACTGGAGGTCGCTGCGGTTCGGAGACGGCGGCGGCCGGGACTGGAGGTCGCTGCGGTTCGGAGACGGCGGCGGCCGGGACTGGAGGTCGCTGCGGTTCGGAGACGGCGGCGGCCGGGACTGGAGCTGGCTGCTGTTCGGAGACGGCGGCGGCCGGGACTGGAGGTCGCTGCGGCGCAGAGGCGGCCGGGACTGGAGCTGGCTGCGGCGCAGAGGCGGCAGGAACAGGAGCTGGAGTTCGCTGCGGCTCCAAGGCAGCAGCTAGATATGGTGTCGGCCGGAATGCCGTCCGAATACGGGGAGCCGGAGTTGGCCGGACCACCGAGTGTTCCGCTACACCTTCTCGGCCCCGTCTCCGGCTGAGAAGGTGCTTAGCCACATAATTGGAGGCCACCGGAGGATCAAAAACTCTCCTCAGATCCTCCACAAAGTCCACAAAAAGCACAGCATTTGGCCGATCAACACTTAATGTTCTCGCGGCCCAGTCCAAAGCCCTTCCCCGCAGTAATGCAACCACGTAGGAGACCTTGGACCCGTCCGAGTCAAAAGTCTGAGGCTGACGGTCAAATACCCGTTGGCATCGCAACAGGAAGCCCTGGCACTTCCCCAGTGTTCCGTCATAGGGATCTGGAGCCGGCACGGGGGATTCCCAGACCGGCGGAGCGAGGACAGGAGGGAATAGTGCGGGTGCTGGAACTGGTGGAGACTTGACTGTCCGGGCTAGTTCCTGCACGAAACAGCTAATCCGAGAAACTTCAGCGGCGAAACTTCTCATCTCCTCCAGCAGACTGTTAGGCCTGTACGGCGTAGCTGCTCCTGTGGTTGCTGGGTCCATTATGGTCAGGTCGTTCTGTCACGGGAGTTCACGGTTAGGACCCAATAGCAAGACCACAGGAGACAGAAGTTGATATAAACAGGTTTTATTTTGAAGGTGTGTGAAGGTGTGGAGCCCGTGGTCCGACACCAGAGAGTAGGCAGATCGACGGTGTGAGTCCCGTGGCTCGACACCGGAGGGCTGGCAACTTGACGGCGTGATGTCCCGTGGCTCGACACCGGAGAGCTGGCAGCTTGACGGCGTGTGTAGTCCGCTAACACAACGGAGGGCAGAGCGGCGGTGAGTTGTCCGTAAACACAAAGGAGGGCACGGGGGATTCCCGGACCGACGGACACCGGAGGCAGGCGCTCGAGGCCGAAGATGCAACGGGGTTGAAGCGGGTGAAAGACGGTACGACCTGACAACCCCAGACTGCAGGACCAGAGTTTATATAGTGCCAGGGAAAGCGTTAGTGGGACCTGAGTCTGGTGTGTCAGCCTGCAGGAGATAATCGGCTGGCGTGGCTGCAGCTGTGTGGCCATGGGAGGTGCCTGGTCTGACAGGGATCCTGACATAAAGAGGAACTTCACACTAAATTATAATTGTTTGCGCTGTACACATAATCTCATAGTAATAATAGTAAATAATCAACATTAGCTTAAATATGAAATGTGTGTGCTTGGGCAGGCCAAATGCTGTGATCTATTGAGAGCTTAACAAGATATTTAGGATCATGTTAGCCTTGATAGACAGCATGGCTACAACTCTGTAGTGACACTCCTGCTTTTTTTAATTTTCCCCATAAATGAATAAGTTCGAGTTGACTCCTGTCTGTGGTCTCACTGAATGTTTCGGTGTTTATCTTGGTTGATTTTCTCACCGTGCTGTATATTACTTCAAGTGTTGTCAGTTTGTGTCTTGGTTCCTGTCATTCAAAATGAATTTTGAACCCGTGTTCAGATTCAGAAACATGATTTTCACTGCGCTCCATCCAAACATCCTAAGTACTGACCTTAACTACAAGCAGCATTTGCATCGCAATACTTACTTTCTGTCATACATCTCCCAATCTTTCTTTTGTATACACATCCATGAACTGGAATAATAACACCTTGGGACAAGTGCAAAATGTAGATAGATCTACATTCAGTGCATTCAGAAGTGATTCGGATACTTCATGTTTTTATATGGTGCAGCCTTATGCTAACATTTCGTTAAATCCATTTTTCCCTCATCAGTCTACACTACAATATTCCATACTGGCTAAGCGAAAACAAGATAAGGTGGACAGCCATCTTCAGTTCTCTCCAGAGCTGATTGAACCCAATCGAACATGATTGAATCCTGGCCGGGCCACTCGAGAACATTCACAGAGTCACTCTTGCATTGTCTCGGCTCTGCGCTTAAGGCCGTTGTCCTGTTGGAAGGTCAACCTTCGGCCCAGTCTGAAGTCTTGAGCTCTCTGGACCAGGATTTCATGAATATCTCAGTTCAGCTTTCCCTCAACCCTGGTCAGTCCCTGAGTCCCTGCTGCTGAGAATCAGCTCCACCACCATGCCTCACCATGTGGATGGTACTGTGTAGGTGATGAATGGTGCCTGGTTTCCTTCAGACATGACGCTTGGAATTGAGGCCAAACAGTTAAATCTTGGTTTCATCAGACCAGAGCATCTTGTTTCTCACAGTGAGAGTCCTTTAGGTGCTTTCATGCATCTTTCACTAAGGAGAGGCCTCCGTCTGGCCAGATCGGCAGAGTTTTGCAGTGATTGTTGTCCTTCTGGAAATTTCTCTCATTTCCACACAGGATATGTGGAGCGACCATCTAGTTTGTGGTCACCTTTCTTACCACAAGTCTACTTCCTCAATTGCTCAGGCCACCCGCTCTCCAAGGAGCCGTGGTTGTTCCAAACTTCTTGCATTAAAGAATTATGAGGGCCAATGCGCTCTTTGGAACCTTTAATGCTTCCGTGTTTTCTTGTAACCTTCACCAGATCTGTGCCTCGACACAATCCTTTGAGTCTTTGAGCTCTACATACCTCCTGGCTTGTTTTTTACTGATATACATTGTCAGCTATGAGACGTTCTACAGACAGATGTGTGTCTCTCCTAAACATGTAGAATAGAATCCTATCAAGGTGAAGAAACAGGAGGCTAAATTCCAACTTTCACAACAAAGAGTCTGAATACTTATGTCCCTGTGATACATAAGTAATAATCATGTATTTTTGTAAAATCCTGTTGTCACTTTGTCCTTAGGGGGTATTGAGTCAAGGTTGAAGCGTAAAAAAATGTATAGAAACATGAACAGAAGTGTAAAAAGTGAAGAGACGTGAATACTTACTGGATAGTTATCTAGTCAGCATAAATAGATGGATAGAAAAGCTGTATTCTTATTTTCTTGCATACTTTTTGATTATTTGTGGATATTTGATTTCTGTGTATTGTATTGTTTGATACATACATGTACATACTTCAGACAGGGTTTATTTGAAGTTGATCATGTGGAGTGATTACTGTGTGTATTTCTGTTCCCTGTAGATTTCAAACATGATATTAACCACTTCAGAATGAACATAGCCGCCTCTAGCCCTCCAGTCCATCATACAGCATCAATAACGTACACAGCCATGTGTACACTGTATGATACACTTCTGTCATTTCAATTTCACTGCAAATATACATTCTGTAAGTGATATTAATATTGTGGATGTTGTATGACGTTATACTACCAATAATAAATAACCTGATGAGCTCCTCCACAGTATGATGTGTAAACGTCCTAATCACCATCTGAATTCCCTCAAAACTTCACAGATAGACAAACCTGGAGCTGATAGAGCCCGCCGTCAATCTCCCAACTTTCAGCTCAGACTGTTTTGATGGACTCGTTCCTCTCTGTGTTTCAGGAGTGAAGCTGAGAGCAGAGGACCGGTCCAATATGTAAACCTCTGACAAAGCAACGAGGAAGCAGAATACTGACGAGATGAGGATCAGAGGAAAGCTGAGGGAGTGAAACTTTTTTTCACCACTCATTAATAACTAGCATCAATACTTGACTCTGAGGTGGAATTGTGGAGTTTTGTACATAAAGGCCCACAACTGACAAACAGACAAAGGGACTTCAAGGATCGGCCCACGGAATCACTCAGCAACAACCTGCACTCAACTATGCATACAGCGAATAACGTTACATTACTTCCTCGTCAGCATGTCTGTAAGAATGTAGTTCCTGAGAACACAAATCATCTGGTGGCAGGTGTATAAAGCTCTAAAACAACATCAGTCTGATGAGGATCAAACATTTGAACAGTCACTGCAGTTCAAGCACTACATTAACGAAGCAGTTTTAATACTAGATGTTCTATAGTTTATAATCCTGTTATATTTCAAAATATGCCAATTATGTTTATTCAGTACAAATAAAAATAATTGAAAACATTAACCATTGTGATTTTTCACAAACACTACGTTAATACAATAGAACTACTATACATTATATTTCTCTCTATATGTATTTATATGAAAGGAACAGTGTGTATGATTTACGTTGATTTATTGGCAGAAATTGAATATAATATTCACAACCATGTTTTTATTAGTATATAATCATCTGAAACTAAGAAGGGTTTTATTGCAAGAGAATGATCCCCTCACATCTACATGGGAATGGGTCCACTCCACAGATTCTCCATGTTGCTACAGTAGCCCAGAAGGGGCAAACCAAACACTGGCTCTAGAGACGTTTGCTTCTTTTTGTTACCTGAAGGCCACTCTAGTTCTTCAGCACGCTTAGAAAAGGAGTGAAAGGAATTCAGTTGGTTGCAATCTGCAACTTCACCACTAGGTGCCACTAAATCGTATACACTGCTCCTTTAAAGGCTGCAATAAACTGTTATAACACAAACGTTAATGGGCCACTACAGTGCACTGCATTAAGGTGGGGGACTAGTGGAAAAAGACACTGGATCCACTGGATTTCTAATAATACCACTTGATGGCATCTTTCATTAGAACCTCCGTCTGATAATTATGAAGCTGTGAGAGTCAACTTTGGCATTGAAAAAAGGAAACATTGGCATTGAGATGCTTGTGTAGGAAAAAAGTTTTATTGGCAATGAAAAAAAATAAAACAGGCATTAGAAATAGTTTTGTTCTATTTTCAGTTTTTTTACAATGATAGTTTTTCCCACTGATCTATATATATATATATATGTATCTACATAATGAGGAGAGAACGGCACTCTTTCAAATATTATTTTTGATGGCAAAATCTATCGTCACTGTCTTCCTCCATAGATGATTGCCCATGTGTTTTCAAACAGCTGTGATCTTCTGTGATCAGTGTTATTTGATCAGACTTGACCAGAGCCACAGAAAACATCACACAGGCTGAGTAGCACATCTCAAGTCATGAGGAGTGAGGACGGGCAGAAGTAGCAGAGGACTGTTACTTGTGACGAACCGCTCATACATGCAACAATCTTTTCAATAAAGTACGTCTTGGCAACACGCAACCTCAAAGCCATGATGGCAATCTGTGACTAAGCAGAAAGAAGTTGTTGAGACCCAGCAGAGAGAGCAGCAGGAGGAGTTAGTCTTCATCTGAGACAACCAATGATTCAGAAAAATGAATTCAATAACAATAACTTGAGATCATACCTTGCCACTCTAATACAGACAAATGGGTGCGAGAATAAGATGAAGCAAAAAAGGCAGAATTCTAGTCTGTTGACAACACATCTCTATGAGCCTCAGAGTTCCTCTTATACAGTACCTGATATAAGGGTATTCAAATAATACATGCGTGTTTTAGACCTCACTATCAACAGGCGACAGTCTTTCCCATTGAAGGGTAGCCTTTCTGTCACTTCCGCCGTCAGAAGCAAGGAGTGAAAGTCTTAAGGTGGTTACTTCTTTTTCTAATATCTTTTGCTGTTTCAGTCTCTCTTTCAAACTCTCAAAACAGAGTTGTTGATTGTTGGAACAGTTGAAAGACTGAAAGAATTTGATTTCATTGTGTAAAATGACTGTCTGATTGGAGTCTGGTACATGGACTGTACTTCTCTTTCTAGTCTTTTCGACCAGTCAAAGCTTTCACACTACTTGTCATCATTCACACACCATCAGACTAACAGTCATACACCGTAGCAAATTTGGGGTTGAGTGTCTTGCTCAAGGACACATCGAGATGCGATCGAACCGCCGATCTTCTGATTGAAGGATGACCCTGCTCTCCACTTAGCCACAGTTGCTGGTGGCTTTGACGATATATTAATTCTATGTTTTGTATGTTAATAAATTCTGATAATTATCCAAATCCCTGTTGATTTTATTTATCATATATCCACTTCAATGTGCATCACATAGCATTGCGCCGATAAAGTGGCGAAAACCTGCGTGTCACTGCGTGTTCCATCACTGTCCATCAGAACTGGAGCCGATACGTACCATAACCACTAGAGGTGCAACGGATCACAAAGCTCACGGTTCGGATCAGCAAAGAAAAGGGGAGAAGTTGATACCCTCGTCCTTTGATCAATATTGAAAGAAAGAAGCAGCCAGTGAGCTAGCTTCCACTGTTTCAACTGAACTGAACTGCTCGGCAACAACTTGGGTCTATGTTTACTTCCTGTCAGGTTATGCCATTCAAATACACAATGTTTACATTACTGTGAAATGGTCTACAACTTTAAAACATTGTTCAAAAAGATGAGAATATCTCCATTGTCTGGGGAGAGGGTAGACCTTTCTGTGGTGACTGGGATATTACTATTGGGCCTGTCTAGCTTCACTCTGCTGCTTCTGTCAGCACCTGCACCAGGTGTGTGTCTGTGTGACTCTCACAGAGGGGGTGTGTATGCAGCACCTGTCTATGGGTACATCCCAAGTCTCTTAATTGTCATTTCCTCGCTCCTCGATCCTCGCTTGAACCGGAAGTTATTCTGTGCCGCCATATTGACGGCCGTCCCAAAGCTCTTATTTAGCTCTGAGGAGAGAGGATCGAGGATGGAGGAGGGATCTCCGAGGAGCCATGAGCGAGGACCCACGAGAACAGACTTACAGGAAGTCTTTTAACGGCCGACACGCCCCCTCATTGTTCATCAGTGATGTGATTGGACGCTGCAGCCGATCAAACTGATGAGATTTTTTTCAACATGTAAACAGTGAAGACGGATCACAGATTAAACTCAAGCTTTATATTTGATTAGGTTTCTGATTCAACATCTGGTTTCAATAAATGTTTATTGCAGACTGAACAACAAAACGACCACAAACAACTTTCTTCATTTATTAGAAAGATTTGTGTTTTTATGATCTGAACTTTT